TTCCGCAGGGTTTGGTGCAGCCCGGGGCAGTTCCGCAGGATTTGGTGCAGCCTGGTGCTATTCCACAGGGTTTTGTGCAGCCCGGGGCCGTTCCACGGGGTTTGGTGCAGCCCGGGGCAGTTCCGCAGGGTTTGGTGCAGCCCGGTGCAGTTCCGCGGGGTTTGGTGCAGCCCCATGCAGTTCCGCGGGGGTTTGTGCAGCCTGGTGCTATTCCACAGGGTTTTGTGCAGCCTGGGGCAGTTCCACAGGGTTTGGTGCAGCCTGGTGCTATTCCACCGGGTTTGGTACAGCCTGGGGCAGTTCCGCGGGGTGTGGTGCAGCCTGGGGCAGATGAGCTTGGTTTGGAGCATCCTGATGTAGATCAGGTACAACTGGGTGCAGATCAGAGTGGCTTAGTACAGACTGGTGCAGATCAGCAAGGTTTGGTACAACCTGGTACAGTTCAGCGTGGTTTGGTACAGCCCGGTGCAGGTCAGCAAGGTTTGGTACAACCTGGTACAGTTCAGCGTGGTTTGGTACAGCCCGGTGCAGGTCAGCAAGGTTTAGTACAACCTGGTACAGTTCAGCGTGGTTTGGTAAGCCCGGTGCAGGTCAGCAAGGTTTGGTACAACCTGGTACAGTTCAGCGTGGTTTGGTACAGCCCGGTGCAGGTCAGCAAGGTTTGGTACAACCTGGTACAGTTCAGCGTGGTTTGGTACAGCCCGGTGTAGGTCAGCAAGGTTTGGTACAACCTGGTATAGATCAGGCTGGATTTGTCTACCCTGAAATGGATCAGTATGGTCTGTCTCAACCTGGGGCAGTTCCTAGTGGCTTGGTGCAACCAGATGCATATTCACCTGAAATGATGCAGCCTGGAGTGTATCCACCTGGTTTGGTATATCCTGGTACAGATCCACGTAGCTGGGTCCAACCTGGCATAGGTCAACAAGGTTTAGTCCAGCCAAGAGATGTTCAGTATGGCTTGGGGTGGCCTGGTGTGGCACAGCAAGGTTTAGTCCAACCTGGTGCAGGGCAACCGGATTTGTATCCTGTGGGTGAGCTTGATTGGACACAACCTGGCCTCAGTCAACGTGGTTTGGCGCAACCTGGTGCAGATGAAAGTGATTTGGCACAACCTGGAATAGAACAGCCTTCTTCGGAACCACCTGGTGCAGTTGAGCCTGGTTTAGAACTTCCTGGTACAGTTCAGCATGGTTTGGCGCAGCCTGGTACAATTCAGCGTGGTTTGGTACCACCTGGTACAGCTCAGCATGGCATGGTGCTACCTGGTGCAGTTCAGCATGGTTTAGGGCAACCGGGTATGTACCCACGTGGCTTGGTACCCCCTGGTGCAGTTCAGCCTGGTTTGATATCACCTGGTGCAATTCAGCCTGGTTTGGTACCACCTGGTGCAGTTAGCCCTGGTTTGGTACCACCTGGTGAAGCCCAGCCTGGTTTGGTGCCACCTGGTGCGGTTAGCCCTGGTTTGGTGCCACCTGGTGAAGCCCAGCCTGGTTTGGTGCCACCTGGTGCGGTTAGCCCTGGTTTGGTACCACCTGGTGAAGCCCAGCCTGGTTTGGTGCCACCTGGTGAGGTTAGCCCTGGTTTGGTGCCACCTGGTGCAGCTCGGCCTGGTTTAGTGCCACCTGGTGCAGTTAGCCCTGGTTTGGTGCCACCTGGTGAGGTTAGCCCTGGTTTAGTGCCACCTGGTGAAGCTCAGCCTGGTTTGGTGCCACCTGGTGCAGTTCAGCCTGGTTTGGTACCACCTGGTGCAGTTCAGCCTGGTTTGGTGCCACCTGGTGCAGCTCAGCCTGGTTTGGTGCCACCTGGTGCAGCTCGGCCTGGTTTGGTACCACCTGGTGCAGCTCGGCCTGGTTTGGTGCCACCTGGTGCAGTTCAGCCTGGTTTGGTACCACCTGGTGTAGCTCGGCCTGGTTTGGTACCACCTGGTGCAGCTCAGCCTGGTTTGGTGCCACCTGGTGCAGTTCAGCCTGGTTTGGTACCACCTGGTGCAGCTCGGCCTGGTATGGTGCCACCTGGTGCAGTTAGCCCTGGTTTAGTGCCACCTGGTGCAGTTAGCCCTGGTTTGGTACCACCTGGTGAAGTTAGCCCTGGTTTAGTGCCACCTGGTGAAGCTCAGCCTGGTTTGGTACCACCTGGTGCAGTTCAGCCTGGTTTGGTACCACCGGGTGCAGCTAGGCCTGGTATGGTACCACCTGGTGTAGCTCGGCCTGGTTTGGTGCCACCTGGTGTAGCTCGGCCTGGTATGGTGCCACCTGGTGCAGCTTGGCCTGGTATGGTGCCACCTGGTGTAGCTCGGCCTGGTATGGTGCCACCTGGTGCAGCTCGGCCTGGTATGCTGCCACCTGGTGTAGCTCGGCCTGGTATGGTGCCACCTGGTGCAGCTTGGCCTGGTATGGTGCCACCTGGTGTAGCTCGGCCTGGTATGGTGCCACCTGGTGCAGCTCGGCCTGGTATGCTGCCACCTGGTGTAGCTCGGCCTGGTATGGTGCCACCTGGTGTAGCTCGGCCTGGTATGCTGCCACCTGGTGTAGCTCGGCCTGGTATGGTGCCACCTGGTGTAGCTCGGCCTGGTATGCTGCCACCTGGAGCAGCTAGGCCTGGTTTGGTGCCACCTGGTGTAGCTCGGCCTGATATGCTGCCACCTGATGCAGCTCAGCCTGGTATGCTGCCACTTGATGCAGCTCAGCCTGGTATGCTGCCACCTGATGCAGCTCAGCCTGGTTTGGTGCCACCTGATGCAGCTCAGCCTGGTTTGGTGCCACCTGGTACAGCTTGGCCTGGTTTGGTACCACCTGGTGCAATCCAGCCTGGTTTGGTGCCAGTTATGTATCCTCATGGTATGGTACCACCTGGTCCAGATCAGCATGGTTTGGTGCAACCAGGTATGTATCCATATGGTATGGTACCACCTGGTGCAGCTCAGCCTGGTATGGTCCCACCTGGTGCAGCTCGGCGTGGTTTGGTGCGACAAGGTATGTATCCATATAGTTTGGTACCACCTGATGAAGCTCAGCTTGGTATAGTACCTCCTGGTGAAGTTCAGCCTGGTTTGGTACCACCTGGTGAAGTTCAGCCTGATTTGGTACCACCTGGTGAAGTTCAACCTGGTTTGGTGCCATCAGGTATATATCCACATGGTTTGGTACCACCTGGTGAAGCTCAGCCTGGTACGGTACCACCTGGTGCAGTTCAGCGTGGTTTGGTGCCACCAGGCATGTATCCACGTGGAATGCTACCGCCTGGTGCAGCTCAGCGTGGTTTGGTGCCACCTGGTGCAGCTCAGCCTGGTATGGTACCATCTGGTGCAGATCAGAGTGGTTTGGTTCAGCCTGAAACCATTCAGGATGGTTTGGTACCACCTGGCATGGAACAGCGTGATTTGGTACAACCAGGTCTAAGTCAGCCAAGTTCAGTGCAACCAGAAACGTATCCACATGATTTGGTGAGGTCTGGTACAGATCAAAGTGATCTGGCATTACGCCATCAGGCACATACGCCTCCTTTGTCCCCATACGGTGCATATCCACCAGCTTTCACACAGACTGGTCAGCAAGGTGAGATGGTGCTGGATCATTCTGCTTTAGACCAAAGAGAAACCTATCAGGAGGTCCCAGAAGCGGTCATCTCAGTTCAACCAGGTCCTGACTGGACTGGCCGGTCACGTTTGGATTTGACCAGACTACCTTCCTCAGCCCAAGCTGGACTTCCATACTGGATGATCCCCAGCCCAGAGGCCACCACCTTCAGGAGTCGGGACTCACTTAGCTATCTCCAGCGACGCTCGTCAGAAAGGATGGAAGGCCGCAGTGACCGCCAGGAATCACTGGACAAGCTAGCTCCTTCCTTCCCCATGGCAGTGGAGACATTTCGTCTCTTGGGAGAACTCATTAGCCTCTATTCAGAGTTGAAGGAAAATATGAAGGATCTGAAGGAAGAAGCTGGCCTATCAGAAATGGAGAAGCTCCAGCTCATGATCAATATGATGGGTAGGTACCACTTGCTGGTAGAAGAGAGATTACTTTCCTCCTCCTCCTCTTCCTCCTCCTCCTCCTCCTCCTCCTCCTCCTCCTTCATTTTATGTGCAAGTCCCAGGGCTTGAACTTGGGGCTTGGGCACTGTCCCTGAACCTCTTTGTGTTCAAAGCTAGAGCTTTACTACTTTGAACCACAGTTCTACTCTTTCTTTTTTTTGGGGGGGGTGGTCCAGTCGTGGGGCCTGAACTCTGGGCCTGGGCGCTGTCCCTCAGCTTTCATTTCAAGGCTAGCGCTCTACCACTTGAGCCACAGCTCCACTTCCAGCTTTTTTTTTTATGCTGATGTGGTGCTGAGGAATCGAACCCAGGGCCTCATGCATGCAAGGCAAGCGCTCTACCACTGAGCCACCTTCCCAGCCCCACTTTTTCTTTTTTTTCTTTTTTCTTTTTTTGTCAGTCATAAAGCTTGAGCTCTGGGCCTGAACTCTGTCCCTCAGCTCTTCAGCTCAAGGCTAGTGCTCTGCCACTTGAGTCACAGCACCACTTCCAGCTTTTTGGTGGTTTACTGGAGATAAGAGTTTCATAGCTTTACCTACCCAGACTGGCTTTGAACCGTGGTCCTTATCTCAGCCTCCTGAGTAGCTAGGATTACAGGTGAGAGCCACCAGTTCCCTGGCTCTTTTTTTTTTTTCTGAGTAGGTTTTTTGTTGTTGTTGTTGTTGTGGGGCTTGAACTCTGCACCTGCGTGCTGTCCCTCAGCTCTTCAACTCAAGGTGAAGAGTCTCCCACTTGAGCCACAGTGCCACTTCCTTTCTGAGTAGTTTTTAGGAGATGAGACTCACAGACTTTCCTGCCCAGACTGGCTTCAAACTGTGATCCCAGATCTCAGCTTCCTGAGTAGCTAGGATTACAGGGTAAACCACCCGAGCCTGGCTTTGTCTTCCTTTTAAGTAGATATCATGCTTTTCCCTCCCTGCCTTAACCCATGGCTGCTGGACTGATGGATTAAGTCCTGACCCTGAGAATAGCAAGTCTGTTCCTAGACCTCCTGGGTTCTCTTTTGTCTTTTTCCTCTGAATGAATAGCAGGCACAGGCTGGAAGGAATCGTACAGGATCACAGGGGCCTTGGGAGAGGAAGGAACTAGATCCTCATGTTTGTCAGACTCCCTGGAGAGTGGCTGGGCTAAGAAGAAACCATGGCATTGAGAAACAAGTGGAGAAGAGAGTGTTGAAGAATGAAACCTAGCAGGTTGGGAAGGTGGCTCAGTGGTAGAGTGCCTGCCTTGCATGCATGAAGCCCTGGGTTCAATTACTCAGCACCACATAAACAGAAAAATCTGGAAGGGACAGTGCCCAATCCCTGAGTTCAAGCCCCAGAACCGGCAAAAAAAAAAAAAGCCTAAAATTCTAAAATTTGCCCATCACGATTTTAGCAGTATCCAAGTACCCATGGCTCATCTCTGTAATCCTAGCTATGCTAGGATCTGAGAATCTGAGAATCACAATTTGAAGCCAACCCAGGACACAAAAGTCCCTGAGACTCTTAGCTCTAATTAACCAGAAACAACAACAACAACCAAAAACCCAGAAGTGAAAATGTGGTTCAAGTTGTGCCTTGAGCAAAACGGCCAAACAAGAGCTAAAGACCCTGAGTTCAAGCCCCAATACTGGCACAAAAAGAAAAGATTTTAGCAGTGGGTAGGAATGTGGGTCAGTGGCATCCAGGATTTAGGCTATTAGCAAGAAGGTATGGGATTTTCTCTGTGAGTATCGCTGTTTATCAACAGTACTCTCTGCATCATCTCACCCCATTGTCCCCGTTATTGGGGAAAGGATAAAAAGAGATATCCTGGGCTGGGCAGGTGGCTCAGTGGTAGAGTGCTTGCCTTGCATGCCTGAGGCCCTGGGTTCAATTCCTCAGCATCACATAAACAGAAAAAAACTGAAGTGATGCTGTGGCTCAAGTGGTAGAGTGCTAGCCTTGAGCTGAAGAGCTGAGGGACAGTGTCCAGATCTAGAGTTCAGGCCCCATGACTGACGAGAGAGAGGGAGAGAGTCCATAAGCTGCTGCTGCTGCTGCTCCTCCTCCTCCTCCTGTCAGTGGTGGGGCCAAACTCCTGGGCGCTATCCCTCAGCTCTTCAGCTCAAGGCTAGCACTCTACCACTTGAGCCACAGTGCCACTTCCGGCTTTTTTCTTTTTGCTTATGTGATGCTGAGGAATCGAACCCAGGGCCTCAGGCATGCAAGGCAAGCACTCTACCACTGAGCTCCCTGCCCAGCCCTGATTCTTCCTCCTCCTCTTCTTCGCCAGTCCTTGGGCTTGAACTTAGAGCCTGGGCACTGTCCCTGAGCTGCTTTTTTTTGGTGGGGAGGGTCCGGTCGTGGGGCCTGAATTTTAGGCCTGGGCACTGTCCCTCAGCTCTTCAGCTCAAGGCTAGCACTCTACCACCTGACCCACAGCACCACTTCCGGCTTTTTTCTTTTTGCTTATGTGATGCTGAGGAATCGAACCCAGGGCCTCAGGCATGCAAGGCAAGGGCTCTATCACTGAGCCACCTTCCCAGCCCTCTCTGAGCTTCTTTTGCTCAAGGCTAGCACTCTTACCACTTGAGCCACAGTGCCACTTCTGGCTTTTTCTGTTTATGTGGTATAGGAATTGAACCCAGGGCTTCATGCATGCTAGGCAAGCACTCTACCACTAAGCTACATTCCCAGCCCTCCATAAGCTTCCTATATCCAATTTGCCCACCAAAAAAAAAAAAAAAAAAATCCAGAAGTGGAGCTGTGACTCAAGTGTTAGAGTAACAAGCCTTATACAATAAAGTATAGAAATGGTGTCCAAACCCCAAGTTCAAGCCCCAGTACCAGCATAAGACAGAGACAGAGGCAGAGACAACAGAGAGACATAGATGTCCTCCTGTTATCTGAGGTGTTTCTCTATGAGCCCAGAAATGGTGAGCGGGGGCCTATAGGCCTGCTAGGTCCTCTGAAAGTGGGGCTCCCATTTTCCACAGTCAAAAAGTCACTACCGGATGACCTTCAGGACCAGCTGAAGAACATAAAGACCTTGGCCAAAGAAGTTCGACAAGATAGGATAAGAGTATGTAAGAGAGGGTCCACCTCCTAAGCTATTTATATATTTATTTGTGTGGGGGTGGGGAGGGGCTATATTGATTTTAGGACTTGAACTCAGACCTGAGCACTGTCCCTTAGATTTTTCACTCAAAGCTGACTCTACTACTTGAGCCACTTCTAGTTTTTTGGTGGCTAATTGGAGTCTCACAGACTTTCCTGCCAGGCTGGCTTCAAACTAAAATACTCAGACTTCTGCTTCCTGAGTAGCTAGGACTACAGGCATGAGCCTCCAGCACCCAGCTCGAATCTTAGCACTTGCAATTTATGCTTTGATGGATCAGTCCCTCCCATGTGCTGCTGAATCATTGGTTCCTTACTGTCCTTCCAGGCAGAAAGTGCGCCCACCACCATTATGTATATTTCCTGTATCTAGAAATGGATACTCAAGCTGGGTGCCCATGGCTCATGCCTGTAATCCTAGGTACAAAGGAGGCTGAGATCTGAGGATTGCGGTTCAAAGCCAGCCCGGAAAGGAAAGTCTGTGAGACTCTTAACTCCAATAAACCACCAGAAAACCAGAAGTGGTGCTGTGACTCAAGTGGTAGAGCACTAGCCTTGAGCTGAAGAGCTGAGGGACAGTGCCCAGGCCAGAGTTCAAGCCCAAACAACCAAAAAAAAAAAAAAAAGATATAACTTGACCAGTTGCTGATGGCTCACACCTGTAATCCTAGCTACTCAGGAGGCTGAGATCTGAGGATTATGGTTCAAAGCCAGCCCAGGCAGGAAAGTCCATGAGACTATTTCCAATTAACCACCAGAATACCAGAAGTGGCACTTGGGCTCAAAATGGTAGAGCACCCAGCCTTGAGCAAAAGAACTCAGGGACAGTACCCAAGCCGAGTTCAAACCCCATAACCAACCCCCCCCCAAAAAAGAAAAATATTTCAGTGGAGATGTGGCAAGTGCTAATCTTGAGCCAAAAAGTAAATGAAAACCACAAAGCCCTAGTACCAGCACACGTTTATGCTCGTGCATGCATACACACACACATACACACACACACACACACACAATATTGCTTGGCTAATGGAAAGACCTATGGTCCTTTCTTTACATGTGGCAGCCCTGGAGCCTACTGTGGAATTTTGGGGGGTGTGGGCCAGGAGGCACTGCAAGAGGCTGCTAGGCCTTCAGTGGTAACGGGGTCAGTAGTTCAGCAAAGAGACCTAGGTTTTTGGCAGGTTGGGTTAGATAAGGAATAAGGAATGGGGAAGGGCTTTCCTGGGCTTCCGCTGCCTGAGTCTCCTCTTTCATTGCGCTTCCAGCTGGACAAGCTGCAGAGGTTTATGAAAGGCGACGGCATGGCGGATGGAACAAAGGAGGTGAAGACAGGCCAGCTAGGCTTGCAGCTGGGCATTCTCAGGTAGACCGCAGCCCTGCCCATGCCCTCCCTGCACCCCCAGCGCGCTGTCACCCCCAGCAGCAGCCATGACTTCTGTTTCCCTCCTGCCCCCATCTCTGGCCTGCATCATACCTGCTCTTCAGTTGCCCCTATTTCCTTTAAGAAACTGCTAGAAGCCTGCACCAGAGGCTCACACCTGTAATCAGCTACTCAAGAGGCTGAGACCTGAGGATCCTGGTTCAAAACCAGGCCAGGCAGAAAAGTCCCAGAGATTTTTTTTTTTTTTTTTTTTGTCGGTCGTGGGGCTTGAACTCTGGGCCTGGGTGCTGTCCCTCAGCTCTTCAGCTCAAGGCGAGCGCTCTACCACTTGAGCTACAGCGCCACTTCCGGTTTTCTGGTGGTATATTGGAGATAGGAGTCTCACGGTCTTTCCTGCCCGGGCTGGCTTTGAACCGTGATCCTCAGATCTCAGCCTCCTGAGTAGCTAGGATTACAGGCGTGAGCCACCAGCGCCCGGCTAGTCCCAGAGATTCTTATCTTCATTTAACCACCAGAAATCCAGAAGTGGAACTGTGGCTCTAAGTGATAGAGTGCTAGCTCTGAGCAAAAAGAGCTCAGGGACAGCCCCCAGCCCTGAGTTCAAGCCCTACTATTGGCACAAAAAATAAACCAGTGGAAGTTCCCCCAGGCTCCTAGCTCAGCTCAGCACCAGCGGGGAGGAGTGAAAAGATGTTCCTCACAAGCATCTTGTTGAATTCTAGTTCTAGCCTATAGGTTCTCTCTCTCTCTCTCTCTCTCTCTCTCTCTCTCTCTCTGATTGGTTGTAGGCCTTGAACTCTGGGCCTGGTCACTGTCCCTGAGCTCTTCAGCTCAAGTTTAGTGCTCTACCACTTGAGCCATAGTACCACTTCCAGTTTTCTGGCAGTTCATTGGAGTTAAGAGTTTCATGGACTTTGCTGCCCAGGCTGGCTTTGAACCATGATCCTGAAATCTCCACCTCTTGTTTAACTAAGATTACAGGTATGAGCCGCCGCCGCCGCCTGGCTAGAGTTCTCTTTTTTGCAGGGTCCTGGCCCACTGCCTAGCAGGCCAGGCCAGTATACCAGGCATCCCCTGTGGGACAAAAGTAGGGTGTTGAACTCCCTAAGTAGAGGCCTCTGGGCAGTGAACACCCTTCCTGCCATCATCCTGTGTCTCCCACGGCCAGGCCTCTGCACCCCGGGCTCAGGCATCTGGGCTGGTAGTGAAGTCAGATTGTCTTTCCCACCTGACAGAGTCACTGTGAGTGACATTGAGAAGGAGCTGGCTGAGCTGAGAGAGAGCCAAGATCGAGGGAAGGCCATCATGGAGAATTCGGTCTCAGAAGCTTCCCTTTACCTGCAGGAGCAGGTGAGTGCCAAGCTCGGAACATTACTTTTTTTTTTTTTTGTCGGTCGTGGATCTTGAACTCTGGGCCTGGGCGCTGTCCCTCAGCTCTTCAGCTCAAGGCAAGCACTCTACCACTTGAGCCACAGCACCACTTCTGGTTTTCTAGTGGTTTACTGAAGGTAAGAGTCTCACAGACTTTCCTGCCTGGGCTGGCTTCAAACCTCGATCCTCAGATATCAGCCTCCTGAATAGCTAGGATGACAGGCGTGAGCCACGGGTGCCCAGCTGAACATTACTTCTGATAAGCCTTGCTGAACTCCTAGATGGTTTGGAGCGGCTCCTGGCCACCTCCCTCTGTCTGTCTCAGTTGATGCTGGACCATCATTGCTTTTTGCTTTCTCCCCACACTGCCTCTCCCTGGCAGCCACTTACACTTCTGTCAGCAAGAAAGGACACACACACATGGGCCCTGGGAGGGTGATAAAGAGCTGATATTCTTGTATTGCAAAGCTCTTCCATCTTGAACTTCATGCTGTGACATTTCTGTCATGCTGGTCCCCCACCCCACCCCAGAAGCACTGCAGGGAAGGCTCCGCACTCTTCGGTCATGATATGGACTAAATACGGGTCCTTTCAGATCTGAGGTTTTAAAGGACAAAGGCCCATCATGATGCTGACCCCTCCGTCCAGTTCCAGGGACCCCCTTCAGGCTTAGTAACACTGACAAATCACTGTCACCAGGCCCTGGAGAACATTCCAGCCCTTCCTCCCAGCTCTACCTATCTCTTTGACTCTTGAGGAGTGGCATTGCTGGCTAGGGATGGAGCACCCACTAAAAGCCCCACTAAGAGCCCCCATGACTAGGTACTAAGGAGGTGGTGACCGCTTGTCTTACACCAGGGCCAGACAGAAAGCACGATCCAAAAGCAGGGCACCGGTGGCTCACACCTCTCATCCTAACTACTCAGGAGGCTGAGATCTGAGGATGGTGGTTCAAAGCCAGGCTGGGCAGGAAAATCTGTGAGATTCTTATCTCCAGTGAATCACCAAAAAAGAAGGAAAAAGCTGGAAATGGAGCTGTGGTTCAAGTGGCAGAGCCCCAACCTTCAGTCAAAAAAGGTCAGGGAAAAACAAAACAAAACAAAAAGCTCTGGGACAGCACCCAGCACCAGGGTGGAAACAGGCATGTCCGCGAGCCTCGCCCTGCCCTGCCCTGCCCGGTCTCTCCTACCCCCAGTTAGACAAACTGAGGACAATCATCGAGAGCATGCTGGCCTCCTCCTCCACGCTGCTGTCCATGAGCATAACCCCGGAGAAGCCCCACATCCCCATGATGCCTGGCCACATGAACCTGGAGGCCACGTGCCCGGCCTGCAGCCTGGACGTGAGCCACCAGGTCAGCCTGCTGGTGCAGCGCTACGAGCAGCTGCAGGACATGGTGAACAGCCTGGCCGCCTCCCGGCCCTCCAAGAAGGCCAAACTTCAGAGCCAGGTGGGTTCCTGCTCGAGTCTGTCACCCTGCAGCCGCACCCTAGGCCACAGCGGACTCTCCAGAAGCGCTCTCCAGGGAGGGACTGAAGCCCCTGGTCCTTCCCAGAGCCGCAGCGAGGGCAGCAGCAGAGATGTCTGGGGACAGGAGACTGTGGGGGTGGCACTGGCTAACCGAGGGTGGAGGAGAGTCTACCAAGTGGGGGGAGGGGCAGGGAGAACATGATCGCAGAAGACATCCTGCATGCCAGTCTCCCCAACCCTTTCGGAACACCCCCCCCACACACATACACATAGGGCATGCTTGCCGATGGGGAGGGGGTCCACCACAAGTTCTTGGGTCTTGCCTCTGGGTTCCAAATGTAGACTCAGGTGTTCAGCTGTGTGGTTCAGGGAAGATGGCGAAGCTACGGATCACACCTCAACCCTCAGGGGCCACAAGCCAGCACATGACTCCTGAGCCTCCGTCACTTCCACTGAGCACCCCCAGACCCGTGAAGACGTGGGGGAGCCCTGCCCCATCCATTCAGGGAACAACTCATAGTGGGAAATGGTGAAAGCAGAAAGGGGCTGATGGCCGCTGATCTGTTGGGGAGTGTTTGGTCTGGGTTTTCTAAGGCAGGGTCTTGAGATTCAGTCCAAGCTGTCTTCCAACTTAAGATCCTCTGCCCCATTTTTTTTTTTCTTTTTGTGTCACGGGGCTTGAACTCTGGGCCTGGGTGCTGTCCCTCAACTCTTCAGCTCAAGGCAAGCACTCTACCGCTTGAGCCACTGCACCACTTCCAGTTTTCTCGTGGTTTATTGGAGATAAGAGTCTCACGGACTTTCCTGCCCGGGCTGGCTTTGAACTGTGATCCTCAGTTCTCAGCTTCCTGAGTAGCTAGGATTGTAGGCGTGAGCCACCGGCGCCTGGCTTGCCCCTGTTCTTGAGTGTTGGGATTACAGGCAGGCACCACCACGCCGGGCCAGGTGGAGTGTCATAGGACAAGCTATCAAGGGCAGCCTCGGGGTTGGCCAGCATCCTCAAACAGCCGACCCTGTGGTTCCTGTGGCAGGACGAGGAGCTGCTGGGCCATGTGCAGAGCGCCATCCTGCAAGTGCAGGGTGACTGCGAGAAGCTCAACATCACCACCAGCAACCTCATCGAGGACCATCGGCAGAAACAGAAGGAGATTGACGTGAGCCGCCGCCCAGAGCCTGCATGGGGCCGAGGCCCAGCCTCCCCCTCCCAACCCCTGTCACTCAGTTCTTCATTTCCGGTTCTCTGGGCCCCTAGGAGCTGTATCAGGGCATTCAGAAGCTGGAGAGAGAAAAGGCCAACAGGGAAAGCCTAGAGATGGAGATCGATGTTGTAAGTACCCTGCCTCAGGTGGCGGGCGGGCGGGAGGGGGGTAGACTCCAAGAGTCTCATGGACTTTCCTGCCTGGGTTGACCTTAACCCTCCATCCTCAGATCTCAGCCTCCTGAGTAACTGGGATTGCAGGTGTGAGCCACCACTACCAGCTGGGCATGTGAACTCTCTTTTTTTTTTGTCTTTTTACCAGTCCTGGGACTTGAACTCAGGGCCTGGACACTGTTCCTGAGCTTCTTTTGCTCAAGGCTTGCTCTACCACTTGAGCCACAGTGCCACTTCTGGCTTTTTCTGTTTATGTGGTACTGAGGAATCGAACTCAGGGCTTCCTGCATGCTAGGCAAGCACTCTACCACTAGGCCACATTCCCAGCCCTGGGCATGTAAACTCTTGAGCACCTGTTCAACATCCAAGGCCCACACCTGGACCCTGGCATGGCACTCCTGCTATCTCTCATTCTCTCTCTCTCTCTCTCTCTTTCTCTCTTTCTCTCATGCAGAAAGCTGACAAGAGTGCCCTGGCCTCCAAAGTGAGCCGTATCCAGTTCGATGCCACCACGGAGCAGCTAAACCACATGATGCAGGAACTGGTGGCCAAGATGAGTGGCAAGGAGCAGGACTGGCAGCGGATGCTGGACAAGCTCCTTGCTGAGATGGACAACAAAGTGAGTGTGGACGGAGCTGCAGCATGGGCGGGGCCCTGCCCCACCTCCCCATGCACCTCTGCCTCCTGCTGCCTTGAAGCTTACCTGGCGTCTCCTCCCCAGCTGGACCGCCTGGAGCTGGACCCAGTGAAGCAATCCCTGGAGGACCGGTGGAAATCTCTGCGGCAGCAGCTCCGTGAGCGCCCTCCACTCTATCAGTCAGATGAGGCAGCCATCATGCGGAGGTGAGGCCAGGGAAAGCAGGCAGGTTCTGCTGGAGAGGGCAGGTGACAATTGGAGAGCAGGATTGGAACCTAACAAAGGCCTCTTGGATCCTGGCTGGATCAGATCAACTGTCCACAGGTGGAGGGACAGAACTTGAAGAGCTGGAAGAAGTCTTCTAGCTGAGGGGCTTTCCATGACAGGGGGGAAAGGGAGTGGGGAGGGACAAGGTTCTCCAGGCTAGCGTGTGCACACTGCCTTGAGCCCTAGGGACCAAGAAGGGTCTATGGACTTTCTTAAGGTCCTGGTCAGGCTTGAAGCCAAGCCTGGTGTTCACATTTTTGCCACCAGGGGGCACCCAAGGCCTGTGCAGGGTACCCTTAGGTCCTGCCCTGTGCCCGCTTTGGGTGAGGTCCCCGAAGGTCTGCCCAGAACAAGCAAGGTGTGATCAAGAACCAGTCTCGAGGAAGCAGGGCAGGGATCTGCCACCCCGTAGACTGAGGTTTGGAGCCAAGGCTTTCCAGCTTACCAGCCCATTCTCCACAGGCAGCTCCTGGCTCATTTCCACTGCCTCTCCTGTGACCGTCCCTTGGAAACACCTGTGACTGGACAGTGAGTACCCACATCTGGCCCACCGCGGCTCCTCCGCCCGCCCCCCTGGCCTCTCCCTGGCCTCTCCTCTGTCCTGGGTCTGCTTCCCTCCTGGGTGGTGAGGCTTCACACACACACACACACACACACACACACACACACACACATATACACCCTACCTTCTCTCTCTCCCTGCCCAGAACCATTCCTGCACACACACACACACACACACACACACACACACACACACACACACACACCCCTACCTTCTCTCTCTCCCTGCCCAGAACCATTCCTGTGACTCCTGTGGGTCCAAGCCTGCCCAGACACCGATCCCTCCGCCCCTATACAGTGTATGAGCTGGAGCAGATCCGCCAGCAGAGTCGCAAGTATGAGGGCAGCAGCTGGTATCCCGGCCAGATCTACGGGGAGGGAGTGGGGCGAGACACCAGAGGGCACTTGGATAGGATGGGGTGGTGCCTGTCTCCGGTCCGATTGTCTGGGGGGGAGGGGTTTCTGCAGCGGGAGGGGGAGTGTCTGCAGGCCTGGTAGTAGAGTGTACCTGGAATTCCATCTGGTCTTGGGCCTTGACCCCCTCCCCCCACCTGGGCCCCCAGCCTCAAATTGGGCGCCCCCTTCGCCCGGGGTGACCAGATGGACCGGAGTGTGGGGCGCCTGCGTACCATGCACTCCAAGATGCTGATGGACATCGAGAAGGTGCAGATCCACTTCGGAGGGTCCGTGAAGGCCAGCAGCCAGATGATCCGCGAGCTGATGCAGGCCCGGTGCCTCAACCGCCCCTGCTACAAACGGTAGGCGCACGGGACCCGGGGCGCACGGGGCCCTGGCGGCTGAGCTCGGCTTCTGCCCAATGTCTCCATGCAAGACTGTGTGTGTGTGTGCGTGTGTCTGTTGTGAGTTTAGGGTGGTAAGGCTGTTCGGCTCACTCACCCGCCTCTTCCGGGTCCCCTGCTCCTGCCTCGACTCCCATGCCTGGTCCCTGAGGATCCCTGTTGAAGAGAGCTGCCCGTCCCCCTCTGGCCAGCCCCACACGGTGCATCCCAGCTTGTGTTCCCAGTGGCTCACAGTGACCCAATGCTGTCTACCCCAGGGTGCCAGATGCGGACTACACCTATTCAACCATACCCAGGCGCTGTGGGGGCAGCCACACGATCACCTCCCCGTACCGGCGCAGCCGCCTGCAGCACCTGCAGGGCCTGATTCCCCATGAGGACATCCAGATTGCCATGAAGGTTGGGGCCCTGTGGGAACCACTGACAGGAAAGGCCCTGCCCTGCCCTGCCTCAGACGCCCAGGTCCCTCTGGAAAACCCCATCAGAAGTCATTTCACCAATCCAACTCAGTCCCTCGGGTCCTCACCCGGCAGCTGCCCAGCCAGGTGCTGCCTCCCATGCCAGGCTGGCAGAGCAGCACTGTCCACATCTTCCATGTGGGTGCTCTGCCGTGGTGCACAGTCTCTGGGGAGGGTTCCGAGTGCCACTTGGTGCCAGGAGACAGGTGGTGACCGAGGCCGTCACAAAGCCCGCATTGGATGCGACGACAATCACAGATATGCATCTGTCTCTACAGCATGACGAGGTAGACATCTTGGGCCTGGATGGACATATCTACAAAGGACGGATGGACATGAAGCTGCCTGACATCCTGACCAAAGACAATAGTGAGTGTCTAGTCAGCCCAAGAGCTCCTCGGGGTGCTTGCTTGGGTCTCACGAGACATTCCATCTCCTGGCACTTTGGAGATGTCTTGAGCCCCTGTCTTGGGCCAGCAGGATCTAAGGGTCTTTCTTCCTTCTCTATTTCCTTGCCTTCACATGTTCAGGTTTCTCCAAGACGCAGCTGTCCAGCCTCAGCCCATTGCCTGGTAGGTGGTGGCCTCATTTTTTCTTGCCAGTCTTCATCCTCCTGTTCCACAGCTGAGCTTCTCTACCGCATCGCAGCCAAGCCCTCCTTCCCTCCCGCTTCTTGGAAGTTCAGCAGAGGGCTGTCTCCTGAGCCCTACCACCTGGCAATGATGTGTGCTATCTATCACTGCCCAGGGTGTAGGGGTAGGGCATTGCCAGTGGCCATGTCTTGTCTTCCTGTTCTGTACCAAAATCCCCTGCCCAGAACTCACCATACCAATGTGTATAAGCACTCAGAAGATCTGAGTGGATGGACAGGAGGGTCGTGACGGGGAGATGTGTGGATACGGGCAGGGACAACAGATGGACTGACTGATGGGTGGGTGGACATGGGAATGAAGTGCTCCGAAAGGGCATATTTGCCCGGTAAATGGCCCTACGCCACGCCTCAGTGCCCTGGGTCCCCGCAGAGCCCTCTCTCCCTGTGCTGGGACCGACCCTTGCCTCCGCTGCCTCCTCAGTCTCGGGGATGACGAAGCACAGGTCCAGGCTGTCCCGGGCCCACATCTCCAGGCAGCCGTCCCTCGGCAGCAATGGCCAGCTGTTCTCTCGGCCTCACAGCGCTCAGATGTCCCCTGACAACTCAGGTAGGAAGCTTCCTGCTGGATGGATTGTCTTCCTGCCTCACCGCCCCCCAACCCCAACCCCTTTCCCATCCATACTGGGTTGTTTTGTTTTTTGTTTTTTTGGGGGTCAGTCATGGGGCCTGAACTCTGGGCCTGGGCGCTGTCCCTCAGCTCTTCAGCTCAAGGCCAGTGCTCTACCACTTGAGCCACAGCGCCACTTCCGGCTTTTTCTGCTTATGTGGTGCTGAGGAATCGAACCCAGGGCCTCCTGCATGCAAGGCAAGCGCTCTACCACTGAGCCACCTTCCCAGTCCCTCAGCCATGCTAGAGACATCAAGGGCCTTTTAGTAGCTGCAGGGTGGGATGGAATGGGAGGAAGGAGAGAGAAAATCCAGTCACTATGTGCTTAATTGGTGCTAGGTCTGTAGGGTGGACACTCACACTGTGCTATTCCATGCGAAGGGTCCCAGTCACAGGCTCCAGACCCAAGTCCTTCCCTGCTCAAATGCTTAGCTCGTCAGTCAGCCTCACAGGCCCTGAAAGGTCCGAATGGCTGGTAGACAGCAGGGCCAGACCCCTGAGACCCCTCTCCAAATTGTTTTGTTTTTGTAATTTTGTGTGCCCCTCCTGGGGGCTTGAACTCAGGGCCTGGGCACTGTCTCCCTGAGCTTTTTTTTTTTTTTTCCTAGAGGCTAGCACTCTACCACTTGAGCCACAGCTCCTTTCAGCTTTCATTGGTGATTAATTCAAGATAAAGAGTCTCATGGGCTTTCCTGCCCAGGCTGGCTTGGAGCCCAATCCTCAGATCTCAGCTGCTTAGATAGCTAGGATTATAGGCTTGGGCCACTGGTGCCAGCTCCACGCCTGTTTCGAAGGCAGTCCTTCCTTCCTGCTCCCAGGCCTGGGAAACACCCAGCATCCCTGCTCACCCGCACTCACTGGACCCCACTGGAGTGCAGCGAGCAAGGCCTCGGGGCTTAACCCCACAGGGTCTAGAGTTCTTTGCTGGGACATGGGGCTGGGGAGTTGGGTCACTTTAGGCTGGTCCCACTGTAGACCTCAGTTTCCTCATCTGTCATGGAGGGGGTGCTGAATTTGTGCTGCTTACCTGTCTGAGCTCCCAAGAAAACAGAACGTGCTAATATTCCTCCTCTAAAACAGTCCTGTACCCACAGCATTTTGCAGATGGCTGCAGGAAATTCTGGAATCTCCGGGACCCATACCACACCCCTGTCCCCAGGCTAAGAACCAGAGCCTGCAGGCCATCTTTTCATTCCTGAATTCAGTGAGGGCCTGTGGCAAAGGAGGGGGAAGGGGATAAAAGGTAGCACCATCCCTCCCCCCCTTCAGGAGGCTGAGATCTGAGGATCATGGTTCAAAGCCAGCCTCCGCAGCAAAGTCTATGAGACTCTTATCTCCAATGAACCACCAGAAGACTGGAAGTGGCGCTGTAGCTCAAGCAGTAGAGCCTTGAGCTGAAGAGCTGAGGGACAGCACACAGGTCCAGAGTTCAAGCCCCATGACATACAAAAAACAAACAAAAAACAAAAAAACCAGGCAGCACCCCAGCCTTCATTGAGGTCTTTTCTGGCTAGGCATTATTTGGGTTTACATGTATGAACACCAATGTTAGCTCCAGTACAGCCTGGGGAGACTGAGGTATCTGCCTGAGGCTACACAGCTAGGAAGTGGCAGAACTGGAATTCATGGCCAGTCTGGCCTCAGAGCCAGTTATCAAGGAGAAGGGGCTGGAGGAGGGGGCTTCAGAGGCTTTCTTACCTCCTTCCCCCAGGCACTCCAACGACATTTAAAATACAGAAGCAGGGGCTGGGAAGGTGGCTCAGTGGTAGAGCGCTTGCCTTGCATGCAGGAGGCCCTGGGTTCGATTCCTCAGCACCACATAAGAAAAAAGCCAGAATTGGCGCTGTGGCTCAAGTAGTAGAGCGCTAGCCTTGAGCTGAAGAGCTGAGGGACAGCGCCCAGGCCCAGAGCTCAGGCCCCACCACCGGACCCAAAAAAAATACAGAAGCAGGGGAGCGGAATGGTGCTCAGGAAAATCTTCCGTGCCTGTAGGGTGACTATTGTGAGAGCAGCCCTCACATGTGGAGCTGTGCACGCACTGGGGCTTGAACTCAGGGTCTGGATGCTATCCCTTAGCTTTTTCATGCAAGACTGGCACTCTACCACTTGGGCCGTACCTCCACTTCTGACTTTTTGCTGATTAATTGGAGATGAGAACCTCATGGACTTGACGTGGTGGGTCTTGAACTCGGACCTGGGTGCTGTCCCTGAGCCACAGCCCCACTTCTGATTTTCTGGTGGTTAATTGGAAATAAGAATCTCAGGACTTTCCTGCCCAGGCTGGCTTTGAACCATGATCCTCAGATCTCAGCCTCCTGAGTAGCTAGGATTACAGGCGTGAGCCATCAGCACCCAGCTCATCATGGACTTGTTTTTTTTGTTTGTTTGTTTTTTGTCAGTTGGGGGGGGGGGCTTGAACTCTGGGCCTGGGCGCTGACCCTCAGCTCTAGTGCTCTAATTTGAGCCACAGTGCCACTTCCAGCCTTTTCTGCTTATGTGGTACTGAGGAATCAAACCCAGGGCCTCTTGCATGTGAGGCAAGCACTCTACCACCGAGCCACCTTCCCAGCCCCCAGGGCTTTGTCTGAGCTTGCTTCAAACCCTGATCCTCAGCTCTCCACCTCCTGAGTCTTAAGATTACAGGGGTGAGCCACCAGCGTGGGGCAGGGCCAGCCTTAACAGGAAGCATTACAGCCTCTGGGCCCAGGCAGGAGGGCAGGGCGCCTGTTCACTAGTTGTCATTCGTGAGGATTAGAAAGGGGTTTCCAGTCTTTGCTCACCAGCTCCAATGTGCACTTGCACTGAGCACCCCAGCCCATCAGCCTGGCTAAGGGGGCTGCTCCCGGCTCCCCTAGACTTTGGGCACGCTGGGGTGGAACGTGGCAAACTTGGGAACCAAGGCAGAGCCCGCTAAGTCCCTCTTGTCTTGCAGAGTCTTCTTTGAAGCAACAGGAAGAAGCCTCCGAGGGGCGTTCCTCCCAGGGGGGCTTCCGGGAGACAGAAAGCCTGCCTGCAAGTTTAGGCAAGCCTCCCGGGGACGAAGAAGAGGATGAGGAGCCCACCCGGGGGCCCAGGTCATCTGCCCGGACTCTGTGAGCAGAGCTTGAAATAAATGTTGGGGAAGGAGCTGTGGTCAGCTGAGGCTTCTCTGCGGGCTTTGACCTCGGCAGGACGGAGTGAGCGGGAGGTGGCGCCGGCTGCTGGGCCAGGCCTCCAGGCCGCTCCCATGCCCACGTGCATGTGCGCACATGTGGCTAAACTTTTCTTGGAGAGCAGCAAGTCTGGGGTACAGTCCAGAATCACCAGGCCCCTAGAAGAAGGAGCCCTGTCCCGAAGGGTGCTTGAAAGGTCAGCCGTGGCCAGACTCCAGACCCCACTTGGGATGAGCTGGGCCTTCTTCCACCGTGACAGCTAGTCCCGCCACGCTGCCTTCTCCTCCAGCTAGTCTTTGGGCTGGCCTAAGGTTCACTGAGCAGAAACTGCAAACCCACTCCAAGAGATGGGGGTACAGCTGTTCACTGCTTCCCCCACCGCCGCCGGCCAGACCACACCGCCCCCCACAGGTGCCACCAGCCACCTGTGAAAACCTGCAGCCACCAGGAAGGGGCGCGCTGGCTGCGCGTGGGGAGGCGCTGTGAGCAGAGGCTGTCCCGGCCAGTGCCAGGACACTGCCTTGCGAACTGCAAGGTGAGCCTTTGTCCTGCTCCAGCTGGTGGGCAGGCCTCCCTGTCCCCCCCCCCCGTCCCATGTTCAAGGCCTGAGGAACAGGGAGAGGGCAGCAACTGCAAGGGATAGGTCCCCAGCACGACCATCACCCACAGAAACCTTCCGAGCATGGCATGGCCCTCCCCCCCCCCCCAGCCAGAGGTTCCCCCAGCAACCACAGCGGCCTCTCTACCTGGGGCCTAGGAAGCCCTGAGTCATCCAGGCAGGCTCTGCGCAGGTCTGTTCAGAATGGGCCACGGGGCTCCCCCCATCTCCCCAGTTCCCACCTACCCCCCTCTCACAGGGCTCATCTTGGGGTGTGAGAAGGGGTGACAAGATCACACAGGAAGAGTTCCAGAAACAGCCAAGAAATGTGTTTCTCACCCCTGGCCTGGCGTGGGCGAAGGCGGGCTTGGCTGGGGGTGTCGGGGGGGGGGGTGCCCTCTTCTCCCTCCGTCTGAGCCTTTATAGAGCCATGGTTGGAGCACTGGGGCTGGATGGGAAGAGGAGCCGCCTGGACAGTCCCCCAGCAGGTGCCCAGCCAGTGCCCTTTTCTCTAAGCAAGGGGCAGCGCCAGGCCCCCCTCCCCCCAAGCTCCCATTTCTCTCACCCCAGCCTCACCCTGCGGTGAAATGTCAGGAGGTCGGCTCAGTTTCCCAGGTTCAGAAGCCAAATTCTACAGTGTGGCAGGGCCTTGCCCCACGCCGAGAGAAGCCGCAGTCCCCAAGCTGCCCGGCGGCCCCTCCACCCCACGCCACCTACACACCTGGGCGGCCTCTGGGGGAAGACCCAGCCCACGGGCCTCGCAGGGGCTCCCCCTGCGGCCTGGGAAAGCACAGGTGGGCAGAGGCAGGGCGAGGCGGGGAGGAGTCCCCGGGGTTTTCAACCAGGAAACAAAACTGAAAGGACAGAGCCAGCTTCCAGGCCCAGCCATGTCACACGCAGGAGACAGGGTTTGTGAGCGGGGGTTCCGCTCCACGGCGTCCTGGGCAAGAGCAAGAAGATTCAAGGCCTGGAGACCGGCTGGGGGGGGAGGCTGTTTCACTTCACCCTGGGTCCCACACACCAGCCCCCACCCCAGGCCCAGGTCTGTGTCCAAATAGTTCTGGGTCTTTCTTAAACCATGAGGAGCAATAGGCCATACCCAGGGGTGCTGGGCAGGCTCCGAATCCACCTCAACACGCAGATGGCGGGCACTGGCCCCAAGAAGATGGAAGCCAGCAGAGGGCCTGGGCCGGCCTATGGGTCACATCTCCTGGGGGGAAGCGGAGCGGGGACACAGCCTTCAGGCTGCCAGGTTCAAGGGCAGCTCTCCCTGGTGCCAGGGGCTCCAGACGGCCAAGCAGAGAGGGCACAGCATCCAAGTCAGGGCGCACCCCTACCCTGCCAGCACCACCTAATACCCTGGTGTGGGTGTCCTCCACTGGGCAAAGCAACTCCAAGAGCCCAACCACTGGGCCCCTCTCCAAAGCGCAGACCAGCCAGCACCCCACCATCCCCTCCCTAAACCCCAACCAAACAAAAGCATCACAAACCAGGGAAATTGGAAAAGTCTCTTTTTTTAGTTTTTTAAATTAAAATTTCACCCTGGTGAGATATGACTGGGATTGAACTCAGCCCAAAGGCGGCTTTCTCCTGTGTCTCCCCCACCCTCCTGCCCTGCACACACGGGGAGGGCCAGGGGCTTTGTGGAGCTAGGGAAGGCACAGCCACGTGCCACGCTCCACAGGGGCTGGCCTTCGACACCAGCCAGCTCTGCAGTCCTGTGAACCTTCACACCCCGAAGAGGTCACAAGCAGCAATCAGGGCTGGCAAAGAGATGGAGAGGAGTCCTGGAGACAGCAGCAACAGAACCAGGGCATAGGGATGGAGGGGACAATCCCACCATGCCCTGCTGGGACCCCCCCCCCACAGCCAGTTAATGCTCGTTCCCAGGCCGGAGCAGAAGTCTGATTGAAGGTATGCCTTCTGGAGGAAGCAGCTCAAAACACCCCAACTGCAAGATGTAAGAGCACTTCATCTGGCTGTGAGTCACCCCCTTTCCCCCAAGGTCAGGTTGTCCTTCCCCTCAAACCCCAAACCCCACGAGTGCCAACCCCACTCTCGCATACATTAGCTATATTTATATATCCGTATATATTATATATATTAAAAAGAGGAGAAAAAAAACTTGCCCAAAGAAAAACTCCTGCGGGACCCAAGTAGCCCAGGACCTTTACTGTCCCCCCCACAACCCACAAAAAACTTCTTTTATAAAATCTTCCAGTGCGATCTTCAGGAAAACCTCCCCCTCCCGTGAGCTCCCTCCCTCCCTGCCCCTCCTCCATGTCCCCACAACCCTGGACTGCCCTCCCCCTCCCTCCCCCCTGCTCCAGCCCAGGGCCCAGCGGCATCCAGTCTCATCTCTGGCCATCCACGGCTGCCACGGCTTTCTGCTGGGCGCCCCCCTGCTGTGCCCCGGGGGGCCACATGGGCTGTGGGCAGTGGAGACGGAAGGACGTAGGGGAGGAGGGTGGCATCCAGGGCGGCTGGTGGCTGGGTGGGGATGAGGCCCAGAAGGGGCTGAAGTTGGTAGGGGGCGAGCAGGCCACGGCTGTCATGGGGCTGTTGCTGCTCTGCAGACCCTCGGAGGCGCGAAGCTTCGAGAACATGGCCAGGGCGTCGGGGAAGTTCGGGGGTGTGGCAGGGGTGTTGCTAGGAGTACACATCTGTGGGAGGAAACACAGTTGTGGGGAGGACTGCCTGCCAGCGCAGCACCAGCTCTCTTGGCCCATTTTTCATCCTACAGGAAGCCTGGACAGGACATGACCCCCCTCCACGCACGGGTTAAAAAAGAAGAAAAGGCAAACCCCGCCAACCCGTCAAAGCTAAGCACCGCAGGAGCTTAGAAGTGAACATGTGCCAGGTAGCGGAAGGAAATGGTTAATTCCAACCCGAAGCGAAGGTGTCGGATTAAGCAAAAGGACAAGGAGGAGCCTAGGACAGCACTGCCCAGCACTCAGCCACCTGGCTTCCTCCATCATGCTCCCTCAGTTGTCCCCGGGGTGTCTGCCAGACCAGACCAGGGTCTCCTCTTGTGCTAGCCCAGAAACGCTGTGCTTCCTTGGGGTAGTATGCAACCCACGTTCACAACCCAAAGGCCTCGACTCCACTGTCTCCTCCCTTTTGGAGGCCTGGTGGGCTGAATTATGCTTCCCATTTTATAAACCAGTTAACCAGGGCCCAGAGATCAAGCCATGACTGGCAGTGCACCCAGAGCGGAGATCAGAGCTACTGAGCTGGAATTCTCAGCTTCCAAGCCTATGGGCCTAGCTCAGAACCACTCTCCCTGGCTCACACTACATTCGTGCTCCGGGGCTCCTAGGACAGGATGGACAGTAGCCAGCCATGCTGCCTCCCACCCCTGGGGCCACCATCTCTACCCTGCCAGCCTGCCTTTGGCCAGAGGTGGCACTCCCAAGTCTTCTTCCTCAGGGCAGCTCCAAAAACTGCCTTTGGCCCCTCTCCTGGAGGAGCTAGCTACGCTGGGACCACAACAAGACCAGACCTCCAAGCCCGCCGCCAGGCGAGGGGTGGGGACCTGCAGAATTCCCAAGTCAAACCAAAGCCAGAAAGTGAAGTGGGGACTCCCACCCCAAAGGCAGAGACGCCTTCAGCTCCCAGGAAGCACGGACCAACTGTTTTCCCAGGAGCCCTTACAGGAGGCCAAAGGACTCAGCCAGAGGTTGGGCCCAACCCAGACACGGTCCTCCTACCCTAACCATTCCCTCCCCCCACCCCCTGACTTCTCAGCAGCAGCAGGAAACAATGAATGGGGGGGGGGGTAGGGGTGGAGGCCAATTGCATCACAGCATCGTGACCGACTTCCCCAGTTCACCCAGCCAGGGAGGCCTGGCCCCTCTAACAGCCACCGGGCTTCAGAGAACAGCCCGAGGTGGCTAACAGGGCCTGTGCCCACCCGCCTGCCTGGGTGAGCTGGGGCAAGTCCATGCATCTCTCTGGAGCTTCTCTCTTGCTTCAGCTGAGCCAGGGGCTGGGGCGAGACTCTATAATGGCCCCTCTGCCGTTCTCAAGTGAACACTGCCCCAGCGTGACCCAGGTCTCCGGCTCCCAGTTTGCACTGCCCTGCCTGGGCCCCTCTACATCCAACTGCAGACCGCTTCTTACCACCAGGGAAGCTCCCCCAACCGTGGCAACTCCAACAATCTCTGGGACAATCATTTATAAGTGATCCATGCCCAGGTCACATGTGGTAATCCGCCAGTGTTTTTGTTTAATTTTTCTCTTTGTCTCAAGCTGCCAATTCTTAATTTTTTAAAAAAAATTTTTGGTACCAGGACTGAGGCTGCCCACTCTTGCTTGGCTTTTTTCACTCAAGGCTGGTGCTCTAC